TATGAAAACCTGGCTATACACGCTCTCGAAAGAGCAATTGACATAGTCACACAGCATGGCATTAAGACATCCGGCACGCTCGATACCATCCGCGCCCGAATGAGTCAATACGTGGACACTCATCCGGAAGAATTCAGGGCACAAGGCCCGATCATCCGGAATGTACGAACGCTTCTGCGCATCGAAATCGCGCCACCGCCAACGCGTAACGACGAAGGGCACGGATTCGAACTATCCGCCAACACGCAAATGCTAAACCAGCTACGCAAATGGGGTTCTTAGAGCGCGTAGACGACCTACGCACGTAATACGGGTACTCCGGCGAGCAACTCTTGAAAGGCCTGTCCGAGCTCCTACGCGAAGACGCCGTCTCATGGACGCAGAATAACCGCGAGGACTGGGAGACGTGAGGGGATTTCCGCAACGCCATCCGACGGCGGTACCTTCCCCCACGATACGCGGAAGAGCTCCAACAACAAATAGCCGAACGAAAACAAAGGGAAAACGAAAAATTCGCGCCGTATGCCGATGAAATGATGACTCTCATGCCCCGAGTCGGGGGGTTCACCCGACCAACAACTCTCGCGAATCTATTCGAACATGCGGCCAGACTATAAGGTGTACGTTAAACGCCGGTACGTATACAACCTAAGCGATTTATTCGATGACGCCGCGGAATTCGAAAGGATCGAGCAGGAGCGACCCAGCCGGAACAAATATATCGCTACGACACCGACCGTAGCGACCGCAAATAACCGGGAGGAGTGCTGCTGGCGCTGCAAACAGCGAGGGCACACCCGGTTTCAATGCAAGCAGCCGCCTCGACGGTTCTGCTCGCAGTGTGGCAGGGACGGGATCCTTACCACAAACTGCCACCCACCGCCGGGAAACGCCAGGCGCGCCGGGATTACCACGGCTGAATCCCGGACGCTCAAAACCGAGTAAAATATACACCTCGGCCGTACATCACGGCAACGATCCACGGGCACCCCGTGGAAGCTCGATTCGGCTCAGAAGTCTCATTCGTAAATGCCGAAACCATCGAGACGATGAAGAGACGGCATCGAGCCCAGTAAGGAAGAGACGGCCAAGTGCAAATGGCCGACGGCACCGCCGCCCGGACCCTCGGGGAGGTTCGACTATCGATCTGCCTGCAGGGGCGGACCTACGTCCACGACTTCTCGATTCTGCCGTCACTACGAGAACCCGCGCTATTTGGGATCGATTTATGGGCCCGCCTTGGGCTCGCGATCTCACCACCGCGACAGCTACGAGCCCGGACCCGCCAGCCGACCTGCGGGATAACCAGCGGACTAGCTACACAAACGAAAGAAGAAGAAAACCGCCTAAATGCTTTTTTAAACCGCGAGTTCAACAAATTCCAAACGGTCACGTGGCCGACCCCACTGGTCGAGTACCAGATCCGCTTGAACCGGACTATACCAATCAAGCAAAGGTATCGGCCACGTAATCCGGCCATGCAAGCCATCATCGACGCAGAGGTCGAGAAGATGGAAAAAGCGGGGGTGATCGAGCCATCCCGAAGTGCGTGGAGCTCGTCCATCGTAGTCATCCGAAAAAAGGACGGGAAACACCGTTTTTGCATCGACTTCCGAAAAGTCAACGAGGTAACCGAGAAAGACGCCTACCCGTTGCCTCAAGTCACCGCCACCTTGGACAAACTACGCGGCGCCCGCTACCTCACGACG